GTTGCTCACCTCCTGGGCTCTGATGCCCATGGTGTCCAGCAACCTGCCAGAAAAGCATTTCAAGGCGCCGCCAGACTCTTCCTCCGCCATTTTACACAACTGAAGCAGCGCTCTCTCCGTTTTATCTGATGGGACGAGTCCAAGTCTAAGGCACACCAAAATGAGCTGTGTGGCATGCCCTGCATCAACCAGCAACCAGTCAGGATAGATGCAGAACATGCACATTCTTATGGGTCTGCTCGTGTACTGTGTATCAGGGATAAATCCAACTTCATTGACTCACTGTCGGATGTGAATACGCAGCCACTGAATGCGGCTGCCACCACGCCAAATTAGGGACTCACCTGACAGGACATCAGATGCAGCTTGTGGTCCTTGCATTGTTGCCCAAATTGCCGAGGCCATGATTCTGTCCAGCGTTGTGGCATCAATGGAAGGCCCCAAACGCTTTCTTCCTATCAACCAGGCTTTCTTGAACAGCAAGAGCCGCTGCTGTCCATTCAGTCCATCAATAGCGCCAATAGCTTTCAAGGCAGACATGATGATTTTCACCCTGGCAGCAGCTTTTCGTGCAGGGCCTCTGCCTCTGACAAGTCCAGCCACACTGCAAGGCTCGTTTAGAGCAACTGGCAGGTATGACATCACCAATTCCCCCCGATCGCCTGCCCTGACCATTGCCTGGAAGACTGATTCCCATGCAGTGGGCGAAACCTTCACCAGTGAAAGCCAAGTTTTCACAGCAGATGGGCCTACGTGTCCATCACTTGATTTGAATGGCGTCATTGACATGGCCGTGATCAATTGCAGTGCAGATCGAGTGTTCAACACACGCCCCTTCCTCTTGAGGTGCTCGACCACCCGTGCCACAGCTTGTAGATTGCCAGCACTTGCCATTGCGGATGCATACTCCATGAGCGGCTGGATACAGAAATTTGAAGTCGTCATAAACATGTGCAAAACAAATATACAGTACTTTCATTGCAAATGTGGGTCTGCTACCTTGTCACTGCACACTCTGGCAGGTTTGCACGACTTGATATGCACACCTGTGCTGAGGCCAGAGTAACCTACTCCACTCAGAGCACCGTGTCCTTGCCAAAATGTTCTCAATAATCATGCCCATGAACCAGTTGCATAGACAAGATCACCAAGGCGTCTGAAGCCAAAGCCAGTTCAACTCTTTACAAGGATGCAGAAGAAAACGTGAGCAAGATTCACAGCAGGAAACTGGACTGACAGGATCAGCAAACAACTGGCTTGGCCCAAGGGTGTCAACCCATCGTTCTGTGGCATGTGCAAGGTTGTTGTGAGGACAGTACACAGGGCAGAAAGCACACAAACAAGTTGGGAGCGCACCCTCACTGATCTCTTCGAATTCGTAACTGCAGTCGCCATCTCGTGTGCCACATGCTCACTCCCTAACCTCATGTATGCTGCTATGGAAGCTTCCAGAACCGGCGTCCCGAATCTTGTCGTCCATGGGACCATTGGCAGCTGTCCCTTCCACAGCAACTCCTGCACATCTGTCTCTGGCCGCAGCCCAGCAGTCTGCCGGAGTGTTTGGCCCCGCCGGCATCCAAGAGCACTGTTCAGGAGGAGGTCAACATCATCCTTCTTTTGGGCCTTCCTCACCATTCTGATTAGGTCTTCAGCTACAAGGAGGGGGCCATCTGCGGGGGAACTGGACAACATGCATCACAACGCAGAGAATGAAACCGCTTTCGACTGCACTCTTTCGGCATGACAGTACAGTTGTCATTCCTTCAATTATTTGGTGGCATCGGCAAGCCCTCCACGGAATTGCAGGACAATGATGAGAAGCAATACGTGCATCTGTATTCATTGTCCCATTTTATTCACACCCTGAAATTCAATTAGTTACTGACAACATTGAGCAGCAATATGTGAACAGGTGATGCATTGCTGCAAATTTTCTCACGCACTCATCGTCAGAAAAGCCCAAAACTTAGTTCTGTGTTGAAAACAAAATGCAGTTATGCAGGCTGCGACAAGGACAACGTTGGTACAAGGAATAGTTAATCTGATGGTTCACAGTGTACTGTGTTACTGGCAGAAATTGGCAGCTATGGGCACTGACACACGCAATGTGTACTGATGGTGCCTTGAAGGATGTACATGCAGCGTGAGTTCACATTTTCTGGGACATGTAGCTTGCCACAAAGTCCAACAGCAACCAGTGCTGAAGCCACATACCTAGCACATCATTCCCGGCAGCTGCCAGAGCTGCCAATGCCTTGATGGTGTGCCTGCCATGCTGCACCACTTCAGTTATGGCCACTCTTCGATCGCCCCTGGCATCGAAGTCAAAGGCTGCCACCAGGAAGGCAGAGGAGACACTCCTGGGAATCCAACCAAGGCTCTTTACTGCTGGGCCGACAAGCATGTCCCAAGAACCCATGAGAAGATCTGAGTCCCCAATGGAATGGCAGGCTGTAATGATGTGCTTGAGGGCTCTTACAGGTGGGGGGGGGCCTGCACCATCGGCCTGATCAAACCATTCAGCAGCCACGGACAAGACCTGCACAGATTGCCCACAAGGCACCTTGGTTAGAACACAGTCACTTGCATCCATCGTTGCTGTTTTTGTTCCACTGGTGATGTTTGTTTTCCATTTTCGACGATCTCAATTCAGGGAATTACTAAGCACCAAGTTAGAGGTTCAGAGTCCAGGAAAGCACCAGCACTTGCTGCAAGAGTCCCAGGTTGCTCCGCTGGGTTCAGAAACACATCGCTTGACTTCCACCAAAACTATCACCATAGAGCTATTTGTTGAACTGACCTGCTGGGCACATTTGTACAAGCCTACCCATCTTCTGACCTGAATCCATCCTGGCCTATTGCACAATTAGGGCTGGATGCTGTATCCTTTGCAAGAACAGTCATATACATTGAGGAAGGGGTCACTGGCGAGGTGTACATAAACTCTCTGACAGCAATGTGAACAATGCATCCACATGGCAATCCTTGTAAATACATCTTGCAACCTACCTTTTCTGCTCCAAATTGTGACATGTGGCCATCCATCACTGCTACAACTGATGGGCCAACCAATTGTCGAGAGACCAACCCATCTTCCAGCAGAGCGGCGAGCAGTTGGTCAGCAGCCTGTGGACCTTGAGGGCCCCTGGACACACTGCTGCAGGCGATCGTGGCTGCTGTGTGAACTATTTGCGACCACACACTGTGCGCTGCAGAGAGGAATACAGAGTCTCAATGCACTGAAAACTGGCAGCGCGGGCAGATGGTCACCACGTTTTATGTAAGCTGTACCACTGTTCCAACGGCAACATGGAATGAACAAGCAGCAGGCACAAAAAGCCCAAGCGCCAGCAGCTCCTGTTGCCAGTATGTCTGCTGCCCTCCCCCTCTTAAGACAACGCTATCTGAACATTCCTTGTTTTGTTGGACACAAAAGTTTTGTTCAGTTTGAAACTGTAGGCCAGGTTGACCTGGATTTGGTACAACATTTGTGCTGATTCCCACGCGTGATGTGTCACAAGCTGTTGATTTTGGCAAACGGCATATCGGCAGTGATTGTGAGCTGTGCTTCTGGTCTGCAAGTAGTTTTCATTCAACAGTGTAGCCCCAATGGGTACACAGCGCAGAAATCATCCCACCACAAGCTGACTGGGTCGTCATCGCGCTGTTTCTGTGTAAGACTACTTATTGTGACCACATGAGTAATCACGTTGCCCCTTTTCAGTTCTTGAGTACAACGTGCAGTTCAGCCTCTTAGAGAACTAAGCATTGTTGTTCAGCAACAGTTCAACAGTCAGGGACTATTCACTCAGCCAGCTGTGAGAGGTGGGCTGAAGTTGATTGGTGGCAAGGATACCCACCCCAATGCTGAAACTCTGGCTTGCATTTCAAGACATCGATTTTCCCAATGGCTGCCACAGTCGCTTGTAGGGTTCCTGGATCGGCTGAGCAGGCACATAAACGAACAGCCTTGAAGTAATTATCAATCAAGCGCCGTCCAGTTTCTCTGATACCCTAAAAATGCAGCAAAATAATATTTAACAGGAGCAGCACACATCATTGCAACGTAGCTAAATGTCAGTGGTTGCAGCACATTGACAAATGTTATCAATGCAGACAGACTCCTCAACAGCCAGGAGTTCTATTTGCTGACAAGATGTACGCTGTCCGACTGGACAAATTGTACCATCCGCATTCATTTGCTTTCAAGGTATTGTGTCTAGAGCAGGAGGATTTTCCAAGTTGGAATCCAGGGGCTTGGGTATTGTGCACCTTATGTCTTATGCCTCTTGGGTCAAAACTCAATATACGCAGAGTAAAATCTGTTCACTGGTCATCACACACTCAAATATGGCGAGCAGCGTTTGAGAACATGGCTTTCAACAAGTTAAAAGATACTGTCATTACCTAATACATGTGCGCCTACACGTCAAAAGGATGCAATGGCCCGAGTGCATCCATTCAGTCAGGCCTCAGTCATACAGAACAGCACAGTTGTAGGGTGGCTTTCCATCCCGGCCCACCCCAGTGGTGTGAGCTTCCTGGGTGCGTGGCAAATGTGCATCTTCAACAGGAGGATGCCCATGCCAAGTGGACACAACCGCTTCAACCCAATTATACAGGCCAACATCGGGCAATGCCACCCTCACCCGCTGGCTTTGCCTTCTAAGGGCTTCTGGGGGCTGATTGCGCTCCCCAACCTCCTTGGATTCCATCGTCCCTTGGCCGCATTTCCCTGATTTCGCCTTGTTTTCCAGCGACGCGAGGATCGACAGTATCCGTTCTCTTGCGGGGATGTAGAGGTTCGGCCCCGCCGCCGGGGACTTCAAAGGACCACCCGCCATTGCACCATGACAGCAGGACAGCCCGAGGGCGTCGCTCACGACCCAGACAGGGGGCCTTCGATTCTGTCGTGCGGGCAATGACGGATCATCTCAAGCTCAGATCAGACAGCCAAGTCAGACCGTGTCAGCGGGTAATGACCAGCAGCTCGCTGGCAAATGAGGTCCCAACCCGGAGCGGAAGCTTGGTGCTGGCTGGCTGGATTGGCAAGCGCAGGACCGCCGATGTCGAAGCTGTTGGCGCACCTGAAGCCCTTGGCGTCGGACTACAAAGACGGGCGCTTCGAGGGCACGCAGGAAGAGTTCAACAGGTGGGATAACGAAATCGTGGACGCGCTTGGGTCTGGGGTACTCTTCGGCTGGCCCAGCGCCGTCTGCAAATGCCCTTTGTGCTTTGATGGGTCAGGCGACTTGGCGCTGAGGCGGATCCAGATTTGCAAATAAGGTTTTGATCGTTGGTGGACGGTGTCCGTTGCTCCGGCGCTGGGGTTTACTGCCGGCTCAGGCACGCAAGAGAAACTAGACACCAATGCACTGTTGCAGAGCTCTGTCGTTCGCACGTCCCGTCTTCAACCGCGAGGGGAACGTTAATTTCCCCCCAATCCTGTGGTTTTAGAGGGCTTGGAATCATTTGGAATTAGTGCTCATTTGCATGCCCTGCAGCCCAGGGTCATGCATTTTGCATCGGAAGGTGTCGAAGCACGAAAACAGATAACGATGGAATTGATGCACGGAAAGAGAAAAAAGGCTGAAGAATAGAACGGGCGAAGAAATTTACTGGCTCCAGTGCAAAGGTTTTGACATTGTTGACGTTGTAGAACCAAACACTCACCATGCTCATTGGTACAGGTGATGGCAGGTATTTGGTTGCAAATGTGACAGTAAAACTGCCACTGCTGTCTCCAGCCCTCCCTGATCCACGTTGTTGCATTTTGTCTTCCATAATCGCAACATTTGACTGTTCATATGAGGCAGATGGAGCCACAAACTCCTGAAGTACCATTTACCCATGCTGTTGCTGCCCAGCTTGGCCCTTCAATGCAAATTGGAACTGTTGTGTGCAGCAAGATTCTCCATGTCTTTTTAGTCCTTTTTGCTGCTTTTCTCAAAGAAGACAAAGCAGAGTCGTGTCACTGAGCTGGCGATGTCAGACTATCAGTTCAAAGCAGGAAAGTGACAGTAAACCAATGCTTTTGTAATCCAGTATCCATCTTGTCCAATCAACTCAGCTGATTCCAATGAAATCCACAAGAAAACAGACAATTCCCAAGCAACAAGGAGCAGTGCCATGATATGTAGCCAGGAACGCGAAAAAGTGTACTGGTCCATGTGCCAGCGCCAAAACTGTGTTGGAGCAGGATTATTGCTTGATATGGTTGACATGTGGTGCCTGTTCTTCTGTTTGTCACCCGTGCACCCACATTCAGTCCCAATCAGAGCAGCGATCTCTGGTGTTAGCTTGATGAACCTGTAATGGAGCCTCCCAGGTTTATACCAGAAATAATGCCATCTCATGCACTCCTGCACAAAGATTTTGAAACACAGAACAGAATGTCTTGCAATGGCATCTGCAGACTCTTTTGGCATGCTGCAACAGTTGTGCAATCGACTCCAAAAGCAGCACGAATTGCTCCCAACAATGAGCAATGCATGTAGTGGGGAAAACATCGACAATTGGAGGCCATTTGCTTGTGAACAGGATCAGTACTCAGTGCCACTTCCATACCACTGCCATTCTACTTGCTCCATGCAGACGTTCATGGCTGTTGACAGGAAAATAGCCGAGTCGACAGCTGTATACGTGGGCAACCTCTCATTCTTCACGACAGAAGAGCAGATACACGAAGTGTTCTCAAAGGTGGGCACAGTCAAGCAGGTGGTGGTGGGGCTGGACAGGCAGAAGCTTACACCCTGTGGCTTCTGCTTTGTGATCTACCACAATAGGGAGGATGCGGAGGACTGTGTGAAGTACCTGAATGGCCTGGTGGTGGATGGCCGCCTGATCAGGGTTGACATCGACTGGGGTGGGGGCTATGAGCACCGGCAGTATGGGCGGGGGAGGAGTGGGGGGCAGGTGCGAGATGAGTTCCGTGAGGACTATGACCCCGATAGGGGTGGCTGGGGGTGCATGGTGCAAAAGAACCTGCTGTCCATGGCAGGCCGTGCCAGGGCTCGCCCCAGGGGCCCTGGAGAGGGCGAGGAGGAATATGGTGACGTGAAACGACGGAGGAGGGAGTATGACTGGGCACCAGACCCAAGGTCGAAGGGGAGAGACGACAGTGACTGAATGGCCTGATGCAAGCTGTGCCCAAGGGCGATCTTCTTGGCTGGATGTGAACGTCTGGATTTATGGTCACAGCACTGGCTACATGGGCTGGCTTCCTGCAGCAGATTGTCCCCTGCAAGGGGATCTGATCATCCACAACAGCTGTTGATGGGTGGAGGGCCACGAGGATGTCTGAGGCATGAATAGTAACTAGTGTTGATTGCAGCTGGGGGCAGAGGTATTTGCAGTTGCCATTGTTGCTCATTCTTTGGGGCTGGCCATACAAGTCTACATCACATGGACACCTGGTGCTTGTCAAGGTGGGGAGGTGGAGGGTGGAAGTGGTGGGGTGGGGAGATGCACGAAGAGTACCTGCCGTTTTGTTAAGGCTAGTTTCTGCACAATGTTTACCAGCATAGCATATGTTATTTCCAGTTTCTAACCAAGCTTTGTGCTTTCGTTTGTTGTCCTCAATGTGTAGATGTTTAGGCCATACCAAACTGCCTTGCCTCCATCAAAAGTGCGTTGTGTGTTGCAGGTGGCACACAGTCAACTGCGTTTGGGGCTGTATATATTGGATGTATGTGCATGCCTTCCGCTGCCACCAATTTGCCAGAATTGTACCAGAATCACCGTATGGTCGCCTGTAAGTGGTGCTGGACAAGAGGTTTAGGTCGTCAATTACAATATGACTCTTCAAGCGGGTCAACTCACCAGAAGAAGCTGCATCGCACTTCCTTTGGGCTGCTCACAGTGCCTTGATTCCAAGCAACATGCAGAAGAAGAGCCGGAGACATTCTTGTCAATTCCATTGACGCAGTGAGTCACCAACGATACACCGCCAACGCACAATGGATTTTGGTTCTGCTTTCATGGTTGAGGTTTTTAATAGACCACACTCAGCTCATAATTCTAGCACTGCAGGAGTGCCCGTCATCGCCTTGGACTCGGTACAAACAGTGCTTCGAGTTTCGACACATTCAGTCAATGCACGACATGTGCACACAGTCGCTGCCCAACGTTTCTTCCACCACTAGGTATCGTTACCGCTGGAAACACCGAATGTCCTGGGTGTCCATGGCTTGCTCGAGCGCCTACAGTATGCGTGTGTGTGGCGTATCACACGGTTTGTGCTACAAGATGCCGATAGAGAGCCTCGCCAACTAAGGCATGTGTGCAGACCTCTGGGCAACAACGAAGTTGGCATAATGTGTCGATTTATGCCATGTTCTCCTCCATTTCAGTGAAAAAGTGCCATGTGCAAGTACAAAAGTGTTGGCGACAACTAACAGGCTAAGAACCATCGGTTTGATGAAGAAAGGGTTTGTTGTTAGTGCCTTTGGGTATCAAAATGCCTGCTTCAACACTGATAGTGCAGTGGTCAGCAGGCAAATGCCTTCGGTCTTGATATGACTGCACAGTCACAAAGTGTGTACACGCAATGGGTGCACTGTATGATCATGGGCCAAATTCTCTGGATTTGGATGGTTGAACAAACAAACCCTTGTGAGTTGCTACGATTTTTGATCGGCCAGGCCCTTGATGGGAGTGCCAAAGTCGACGTATGTGACAATGAAGCTCCGTATTTCTTCTGCGAACCCTTTTTTTGGCTGTGCATTGCCTCACACTTTTTGACGACGTGGCAAAAGGCCGGCATCTCTTCTGGCAGTACGGGGTTGGCGTATGGACACGTGCAGGCGATGCAATATTTGAAAAAAGTCACAAAATGGGCAGAAACTGAAGTACAGTAGGGGTCACTATATAGCACCCCCGGCCCCCAATAGTGCCACCTTTTTTGGCATGTCACCATTTATGTAGTACTTTATGCAGCTTTGCTACGCAGTGGGACCTCAAACTAGTACGGGGGTCGGGTTTAGCGACCCCTATTTAGCGACCTGTCTAAGTTTAGCGACTCCCCTTACGGCTCGTCACCGTTCCCCTAGTGCTTTGTTTCACTGCGACAGGCCCCAGCGCCCGCGACTTCGGCGCCGCGACAGTCGCTGGCCCCAGAAGCCGGTATGGACCCAGTAGGCTGGGGGTAGCGTACCCCCCACACTGGCGGTCAAGGTACCCCGTGCACTGGCAGTTAGGGTATCCCCTACCGGCGGCCAGTGTACACCCTATACTGGCAGCCAGGGTACCCCCTACACAGGCGTCTATGATACCCCCTACACCGGCGGCCATGATACCCCCCACACCGGCAGTTTAGGGTACTCCCTACACTGGCGGCCAGGGTACCCTTTACACCGGTTGCTCAGGGTATCCCCTTGACACAGTAGCGCCCCCGGCCCCCAATAGCGCCCCCCTTTTGGCCATGTCACGGGGGGGGGCGCTATATAGGGACTCCTACTGTACGTGAAACCAATTGCTGCCAATTGCCCCTGCACGCTGGGTCCTGCTCGACCTGTCGGCGCGGCGGTCGGCCATGGTCAAGAAAAGGAGCACCGGCGGTGGCGCCCGCTACCGCGAGTCCTACAAGCGGCTGAAGGCCGCCAAGCAGCAGGCCCCTCAACCCCAGGAGAAGAAGCAGTCCGCGATGCCAGGTGCGCCCAGCGGTCGCGACGCTTCCCGGCGAGCATCTTTTCTTGCCAAGGTGGCGTCCTCTGCGGCTGCGTCCCTGCACGCCAGGCCCGCCATCACGAAACGCAAGAGCGGGACTGGCAGAGGCGCCTCCGGAGGGGCATCGGGGCGCAGGGCACGCCGGCGGGGGCGAAACCCACTGGCCAGGCTAGCCGATCTTTCGTCCGCGCTTGACTGCGTTGACGACGAGCTGAAGGCGGCGGCACAGGCGAAGGCGGCCAGGGCGGCGGAGCGCGCCAGGCTCAGCGCGCGGACAATGCGGTCCACACGGCGGCTGGTGGCGGCCGAGAGCGAGAGGATGCGGGCGGTGATGGCGGACGAGGCATTCAAGCGGGACCCCTTCGGGGAGGTGGCGAGGATGCTGGGGGAGGCGCTGGGACCGCCGCCGCCCAAGGGAGACATGGAGATGGCGACCGAACCAGTCAGGAAGGCGGGCATGTAGCTGGGGGAAGGGTGTTCCGGCATCACGATGACTTTGAGATTTGCGGCTAAGAGGTTTGGGAGATTTGAGATCGGCTCCCAAGAATCAACTTAAATCGGCAGCCACCTGAAAGTCTAGCAAGTGCAGATGGCCTTTCAGCAGGGGTCTGGGATCTGCTTTCAGGGGCCTTGGGGTGTGACGCCGAAATGGGCAGCTTGTGCATGGCCTTTGGATTGCCGCTGTTGCTACGGACGTTGCCCATGCGTCCAGAGTCGGGTCTTGAGCCTGCCAGGAGATCTTGCGGCCGGCTGACAGTTGGGTTTGCGCGAATATGTGCGGCCAAGAGCTGCGCCCAAAGAAGGGCTGGCAAACCCCCCAGTGGTCCAAGGACGGAGGTCTCTTGGTGGCAGAAAGACGAATGGTGGCTGTTCCCAGTGGGAGACAGGGCCCATCTGTGTCTGTTCCTGCTTTGATTGGTACAGCAGAGCCCCCTCCAGTAGCCTTGGCCCCAGGCCTGGCAGGCGTTCCGTCTGCAGCCCAGGACTGTGGGGTATGGCTTAGCTCAGAACAGTCTGCAAAGGGCAGCGTTATCAGCTGTAAACTAATTTGGGCGCATTCAGGAGCAATTTCGTGTTGATTGCTTGAAGGTTAGATGCAGCTTGGAGACAGGTTGAGAATGGCAGAGGAATAGAATTCCTTGTACACTAGCTGAAGATGTGTTGAGTGGTTCTCGCAGTTTGCAATCCCTTTGAGATGTTCCTGGATTGCCTGTGCCTACAGCACACAACAAGGGCTCTTCACGTTGCACCTTCAGAAGATGTTTGTGGGTGAACGGTAACAAAACCCTTTTGAGCCGAATCCTTGGATGTCCACAGTGCCCAAGTTCACCTCAGAGACTCAAGTGTACTGACAAAAAGCAGTGCCTGTGTTTTCCAGTTGAGGTTTTGTTCGCAAGAATGATACTGCAACAACCTGTTCGAGTTTCTCACAATGTCCAGAGTTTATAAAGGCCACCAGTGCATTGGTGATACTGGAGTATTCAAGTCATTGAATGCACACCATTGCCGATGATCCTGCTGCAAGGGATCGCCCGAGTATGCCATCATCAAAAGCAGTTGCACAGATAAACATCAAAGGCAGGAAGTATCCACTATCGTGCAGAATGGCTGCCATAGCTGCAGAATGCTATGTACCGTAGGCAACGAAAACTGCAGGCATACTGGAAGACCATGTCAGATGCTGGAGCCCACTCCACCGCTCTGCACATTTTCGTCCAAGATGTCAAACACTCGTTTGCCCAACGATCGCGAAGGTTTCTTCCCCTCATGTCCATTTTCGTTTCTTTTCCCTTGCTTGCATCGCCCATGGTTCGTAGTTCGCTACTATGCTCGTCTTCAGGATCGTCTCTACAATCATACAAAAGGTCATTTTATGCATCCTTGTTTATTGCAACAGGGCTGACGTGCTTTTCTCCCAAGCAACGAGAAGTCCCCAATTTGGCGGGCCATTTGCCTCTATTGCCTCTATGATATCCGATGTTGAACAGATCAAATCTGCGGATCGCAGAATTAATTCGAGTGTTTGCTTCTGACAACACTGACTCATTTGAACGTGTTGAATCAGCGTTGATGTGCTGTATGGACATTCGAGCATCTCAATTGCCTTGAGAGGAACTTCAATGCATCCGAATACTCCGATCACTGAAGAGATCAGTGATCGTTTCCGAAAATCTGACTTCAAAATGCCCTGGCGCAATCCCAGAACGTCCATCTTCAAAACCAATATCGTCCTTGGCTCCTGCCGTTCCGGGTTGGCTCTTTCGCCTCTAGGTCAGGATGACATCATCCCCACCACATACTGGTAGATCAGATGTACTTCGGGTGTTGTCAGCACGGATCGCAAAACAGGCATACGCACAGATCCCCTGCAGTTCACTCATTGCTTTCCGCAAAATCACTTATTGTCACTGAAAGGGCCTTGTGGCGAATGGACACCTTGTACAGTGTTCGATTACAGTCCA